AAACTAAAGAAGAAACTTGTAAATATTCCCTCCCCTCTTTTTTTTTTTTTTTTTTTATGTTTCTGACTTCTTAAGTGCTTGTGTAGCTTTTATCTGCGGCTTTAAACTGACGGTACCAACTGTTTATTGGATCTATTGATTTGAAAAGAGTTTGTTAGGATAGATCTTAAGCAGTAGTCTGTCAGTGTTTGTATTTGTATCCTCTGCAATTTTACTGTGAAAATTTTTTTTCAACAATTGGTGTCATTTTCTTGATGTCACTATTTGTTGGAGAGTTAAATGGTCTTTTCCCTTTGTGTATCCTGCCGTGTGTTTGTTCCTGAGCACCCTAAATCTTCAGAGGTGCTAAACTGTCTGCCACTGTGCCAGAATGATGCCTCTGACAGGAGGGCACTGTGCAGATTGCGAAATAGTCCTGAACTTGTTTGGTTGTTTTACACCTCAGTATTGGTCCCTGAATTTTCTGGCCTTTCTTGGCCATGAAAATTTTAAGAAGAGATTTAAAATATTTTAATTTTAAAGAGTGTGTTATAGAATAATGTACTGAATTCTTTATCCCATTTTTATCATCCCTTTTCAGTTTTTATTAATCTACTGTATCAATAAAATTCTGTAATTTGAATGAGTTTTAATAGTCTAGAATGTTCTTGTGTATAGATTTTCTTCTTGAACATTATGTTCGAAAATGCAAATTATTACACTATAATACAAAATCTGATATATATACATTAGATATGTTCCAGTTCTCCATAACACTGTAAAGTTAATCAGAAAGAAAAATTTTATTGATGCAGTGTGTCTTTAAAAATCAGTTCTTAAAAGCCAAGTGTTTTGTATTTTATAGTGAGTTGCATGTTTATCAAAAAAAGTGCTGAAAATGGGATGTGCTTTTTTTCTGTAAATTCATATTTAGCCATAGTATATAATAGGTTACCCCATAACATAGTTTTTCATCAAAAATTTATTATTGTACTTTATTTTGGAGCCAAAAATTGTTTGGGGTGGGACAGCCAATGTGGAAGTAATATGTCCAACATTATTGTAGGTATCAGTCTTACAAACATGTAAAGAAATTTTTTTTCCCAGATTGGGAGAGGTAGAGCTTCATTTGGATTTACAGCAAATTTTTTTTCTTTTCTTCATTGTAATCCCAAAAATACACAAACAAATTTCTTAAGGCAGTATCCTTTGTACAGTTGTGTAACCTGTATTTTGAACCAAAACATAATTTACTACTTAATGTGTACCTATATCGATTTTAGTGTTTCATATGCTGTTCTTTTAACATAATTTGTGAAATTTTGAACCATATTCTGACTTACTAAGTTTATCACATTGAATGACGGAGCATTTTCATATAATAAACCATTATGCTTAAGGTGTATTTCCAAGATAGGTTATAATAGGTGGGGAATATAATAAAGAAGCTACTATTTTGGAAAATGACATCTTATTGTTTTCCAGTGTGTATTGCAATTGATACGATTATTTTTCTTGGAAAGATTCCCTCATGTCTATGAAACAACCTTTTGTTTTTAAAAAGATAATTTGAATTGTGTCTTAATATCTCAATGTTTAATTTTTCCTCATTTACAGTAATAGTGACATCAGTGGTTATGAAAGGCTGCTATATATCAAAGCAGCTAATCTTTGTCACAATATATTGGTTTTTAAATGTTTCATTAGCTCAGTTCTCCCAAACAGGCTATTTTCATTTCAGCAGTACAAAGGCATGTGTTGAAAGCTATAATATAAAAATAATGGATAGCTTTGTATTTTTGTCATGGGCTAAATTGTGCCAGAAATATTTATGGAAATACGAATTTATGACCATTTTATAAAACACAAAAAATGATTTTGGAGGGTTTTTATTTGCATGATTATAGTTAAGCAAATTTTATTGTATGTTAATGCTGTACATCAGTTCACATAAAAAATTCATTGTAGTTTTTGTGTTCAATGCCAGTACATCTGTAATTTTACAATCTGTCTGTTCACTTTTTGGGAGGATTATGGTAAAAAGTTTTCTTTTTTATGTAGAAAAATAGGTGCAATAATGAACAAAATTTTTATGTCCTGAGTCTCCATCTTGGGCTTAATCTATTATGTTTAAACTTACCATTTCCTGTACTAACATTTTGAGAGCCACATACAATAAAATTATGTATAAAACATTAATTGCTAACACTTGTTAGTACACTCTGCAGTGGTAATGTTCATTTTGAAAATACGTACTTTATAACATGAAGAAAATACTTAACTCACTATACCAAGTTCCATTACAAAAATCTTACGGTTCCTCAGTGAGGTTGTCTTGCTGCAGTCTTGTAGCAAAGCCGTTTAATTTGCATTATAATACAATTTCTTGCTGCAGTGCAACAGGAAGCATTTTCAGTGATCTCCACTGTATATGTAAATTACAAATGTGGCTGTAAAAGTTGTTCCAAACATTAAAGGTTAAATTACTTTCTATATCTTCTTAGAACTTGTAAGTTTGATTTTTAAGATTTCTTTTTGACCACTTGGAAAAATGTTGGACTTCAGAATTTGTTTAATTTAGGTGTATGTCTCTACCATATAGTATTATGTTACCAAAATGAACAGTTGGTGTTTAGATAAACAATTTTAGACACATTTTTGGATTTTCTGTGAAGTTGAATAAACATGAAAGATCATATAATTGTATTTTATGTGAATTAATATATATTTAAGTACTCAATAGAGAAAGGCATATTTTGATGATTGCTAATTTTAGAGCCTGTGTTTCATGAAAAGGAAGTATATTTCCCAGTAACATTTTCTAAACTTTTATTTAAACTCCTCATGCAAAATATTAGCTGATAAAAATTTGCTAAGTACTATGTAAGAATTGCATAGCTAAAGAAAATTAATGTGTAGTATAAACCTTTGAAAATAAGCACTGAGAAAATAAATTGCTAGTGGGAAATTTGTTCAGTGAACCTTTATTAAGCACTTATGTGTGAGGCCCTCAAAAATTTTTACTTATTTTTATTGAGGATAAGGTATTATAAAGAGAGATTAGTTCTCTGCCTTTGTGATACTTATGTTCTGTTGAGGTGGGTGAATAGCAGAAAATAAGTAATGTCAGATTATGAAAAATACAGTAAATACAAAAGGAAGACCAGAGTAGAGAGTAGAAATAATGGGGGAGAAGCTATTTTATATGTATTGAAAGTTACTCAGTGCATACAATTTAGGATGGTTAAACCTTCATGATCAGTATTTCTACAATCATAAAATAGCACTTGGTGTCTCTGTGAAAACTGTATGTCTACTTTGTTTCATCTTAGTATGGCCATTACAGTTTTGTGTCAGCCATTGTTTGTATATTTTCATCTTATTTGCACCTTTTTGTTAAAGCATGTGTCATGTAAACAGTTTATATTTCAGTCTTACTTTGAGAATGTTGTTCTTTAATAGTGTTTACACAATTTACTTTTAATGTAATTACTGATATAGTTGGTTTTAAGTATACCTTGGATGTCCCCCACCCCATCTCCTTTATTTTCTCCTTTTTCCTGTTTTCTATGATCTCTTTTGTTAGCTGTTCAGTTATATGTAACTGTATTATTGTGTTAGTACTTACCCTATAGGTCACACTCCATTGACTTACTACAGTCTGTGTTACATTAATGCTTTTACCACCTTCTGAAGTTTAAAGCCATTCAGCTTTCTTTGCTGCTCATATTCTTCGTGATATAGTTGTTACATGTATTGCATTATAAATACCACAGTGTTATTGTTTTAAGTGGTGGGTATTGTTTTGTGTTTACCAATACATTTTGTCTTTTTTTGTTCTTCCCTATCCCATCATTTTGAACTTGCATCTTAATTTTCCTCCAGCTAGAACTCTTGAGTAGTACAGTTAAATCAGTGATACTTTTGTGGGTTTTTGTTTTGAAAGGTTTTTATTACGCCTTGAAGAGTGTTTTTCATGGCTACAGAATTCTTGCTTGTCGGTTTTGTTTATTTGGTACTTTTAAAATTGACATTCCATTGTTTTCTGGTCTTTGACTTTTCTAGTGGGAAATCAGCTGAAAATCTTTTACTCTAGGGTAATGTATCTTTTTTTTTTTCTGGCAGCTGTTTGGGTTTTTTCTCTGTGTTTTCAGCCTTTTGACTATTAAGTTCCTAGGCATGGTTTTTATTTCATTTAATAAAGATTGGGGTTTACTGATCCCTAGAATATGCAGGTTTATTCAGTTTTGAAAAATGTTTGGCCATTATCCCTTTACATATTACTTCTACTCTTTCTGACACTCCATTTATTAATGGATTATTTTTGTCATGTACCTTTTAATTTATTTTTGATCTTTGCACTCTTTCTTTCTTCCCGTGCTGCTTTTTGTATATTTTCTATAGACTTTTCTTCAGAAATTCAGTCCTTCCTTTCCCCATGTCCAGTCTTCTAATTTAACTCACCCAGTTGGTTATTAATTTCAAATACTATATTTTTAGTTCTGGCATTTCCAGTTAATATTTTACGGATCTCAACTCTTAGTTGAAAGTCTCTTTTCAGTCATCTTTTCTCTTTTCTTTAACATAATTAGGTAGTTCAGATCTTTACCAGCTAACTCCACCATTTGAGTCATCCGTTTATGAGTCTGATTTTGTGTAGTTCTTTTTCTCTTAATTAGCAATCACAATTTTCCTGGTCTTAATTTTTTCCCCTCTTGAAGTCTTGTAATGTTTTTCTTTAAGCCATGGAGTTGGGCCTGGGTTGCGACTTAAATCTACTTGTTTCAAATATTTTGAGGGTAAGACGTGTATTATGTGATAGGCCTTTCCCTTTAGCACAGCAGGGCTGCAGGAGAT